CAAACACATAAGCAAGTACAATGAGTTGAACTAGTGATAAGCAGGACTAGTGGTGAAAGGAATTGTGAAACGGGGAAGCTATCATTAATCCAGTCATAAGTTACATCATTATATGGCTGTTTCTCACAAGGACTGGAAACTACCGAATTCACGAATTTGATTGGCTGAAATCGACATTGAAAGCGGTCTAGATTTTCCCATCTCGACCGGTAATGTTTTGCGGTGAAGAAGTTGCAAACTAAGATGCATTGACTATTTTCTTCTAACAATATTTATTTATCGAAGTGCCAAAAAGCGTGATGAGAAAAAAGTAAAGAGGACGAGCAAACTTTGGCAGAATTAAGTTCAGCTCATTGCAGTTCGCAAGCAAAATGTCAGTTAACTTCAAACCAGTTACGTTAAACGAATTAAATTATTCTTGTTTGCCATATAATAAACATCTTATTAACCGAGCTTAGTCGGTCAGTATGAGAGAATCTTGACCTCGGTCGTTTGTACAGACCTCACTGCGTTCGGTTTGTACTTACAACCTCGGTCAAGATTCTCCCATACAGACCTCCTGCTCGGTTATTAAGAGCTAAATAATTATGGGTACTCAATATCAAGACTAGGGAATAGACGTCAACATAACCAACCTCAATTCCAAGCACTGTGGTGAGCAATTTATGAATTTGTCTTTTAAACAGCCTTTGCGTAACTTAACGCCATTATTGCAGCAGTACGTTACTGATGGCCATCATAAATCAGCAATAATTTTCCAACAAGCTGCAGACTTAACTAACGCTGTCTTTTTCCTGGTTTTTGTAGGGTGAAGTGAGGCATGACCTGACGAATGCCTTCCAAACCTCGTAAGTATTACGTGTATAACTTTTCACAGCTTTTGAGAGCAGGATTCTCTTACTGAACTGCCAGTAACTGTCACATCTTAGCCAATCACAGCCAACAAAAAAGCAAAATGAACCAATCAGAACACGAAGCAAAAACACGCAAGCGCGGGAAAACACGCAACTTGTGCCAAGCGCGGGAAAACATGTTACCGGTTGCAAGCGTGGGAAAATGAGTGCTGCTGTTTGGTTTGAAAGAACTTATGATGAACTCTGATTGGCTAGAGCAGCGTCCTGAGTATGTTTTTCTTAACATCACCTTATTCCGTTTCTCCTAACAAACCGTGCAAACAATCGCTTGACAAGCTTAGCATACCTGAGGAACAATAAATTCTTTAAACCAACCACTGCTGTGTTTTTCTTCGTCAGGTACATCAAACTTAGTGACCTGGTGGACCAAATGTTCCCTCCATTCAAGACAGAGGGTCTTCCACCCTCGGGGCTCATAGCACCCGACCAATTTAGTTCCTTTACGTACTGGAGAGCTCCTCTCCCCAGTATTCCTGTGGATGAACTTAACGATAACGATGACAAGACCAGTGACGCGACAGCCTCTAAACAACAGTAGTAGGAAAATATAGACGGTAAGACCTGGAAAATATGTCACTCACTCAGTTGCAAATGAACAGCTTTTACAAAACGACTTGTAAAACGTTTCTTCGATAACACTGCAGTAAAACCCGCGTGTGAGAACCTACATTTTTCGAAGTCTGGCAAAACAGGTTCTTGTATTTTGGGGTAGCTATTGGCAATTTAGGCTAGATATAGTTGTTGATTGCCAGAAATTTGCAATCTCAAAGTCACACTCCTTGGTTAAACTGTTTATCCGTATATTTCACTGTAACCCATCTAGGGGGAGGGTGCAGGGACTGCGCACCCCCCCCCCCCGAGATGAAGACTTCTTCTTCGTATTCGCTTTTAAAATTTGTTTACCTCACCATTCAGTTGCGCCATTCCTTAGTGGAGCACCCTCTCCTAAGAAAAATCCTGGATCCGCCCCTGATATAAGAAACCTGCTTGATCTTGCATGGCTAACCAGGTTCTTAAATGTTGAGGTATTAAAATGGGAAATTTCTGCCAGCAGGTTCTTAAACCACTAGGTTTTAACGTGCGCGTTTTTACTGTATCATACCTCAAGTTGAAGCGTTTCTTTTTATGTTGCAGATTTCCTAGCAGATGAGAGAGTATAACAATCAAGAGATGAAACCTGCTATTTAAAGTGTATCATAATTATTTCTTTATGTTCCTAGATTACATATTTGATTTGTTTTGTAAGAATAGGTGAATTTTACAATTTCTTAAAGTGAACTGAAATTTATTACTGGTAAAATTGACCTTTTAATGACACAGAGTTTCTGTTATAATAATGTGTGAATTATTGTGTAATGGGTGAATTTCGCCTTTAAGAAAGAGGTTTTGTTTATATTACACGTGTAAATAATTTCAAAATAGGATTTATAATAATGGTTATATCTGACGCTTTCCAAGCAGTGTTCTATTTTGCCAGTTATTTCATGAGCCATTTTCAACTTTAATATTGCGTTCACACTAGATCTTCAACTTGTTTAAATTCCGCGTTGTACAATTTTATTGGCTAAACGCGGTTTAAAATAATTTGCGGCATGAACGATGCTCTCAGGGCTAAAAACACAAGTGTAAAATTTAGGCTTCAAGTTTTGTGTAAGGGTTATATTTTTGTTGTTGTCATGGTTAACTCCAGGCTTTTTTCCTCTGTGGAGTGAATAAGTCAAATTAGGTAAAAATTTCGTAAAATTTAGCTAATTTAAAAGAAAATATTTGGAAATACCCTAATTTATTGGAACTACGTTGCTTTTAACTGAAGAGTAATTTTGTTTGTGAGATGTGGCAAAGATGAGTTACTGTGATGTTCTTTATTTAGATATAATCACGGTTTTCGACGCCATCTTGCCGGGTAGGGAAAGCGGTTATAGTGTTTGTATGGGAATCGGATGTCAAATAACTCTTTTTAAATATCAATTTTGCACAACTTATGAATTGCAACTTTATCATACCAGGTAGCAGATTGTATTGACCAAATTTGAAGGACGTAGCTGGGCTAGAAGACGCTCAGTTAATTTCTAATTTTCCATACATTTGTTTCTTTTTTTTCTTTCTTTCTTTTTTTTTTTTCTTTTTTTTTTCTTTTTTTCTTTTTTTTTTTTTCACGCGAACTGCGTTTACCCAGCCAAATTTACAGACAGATGTAAGGAAAATTAGAAAAATTGATTGAGCGTCTTTCAGCCAAGCTACATCCTTCAAACTTGGTGAATACAATCTTCCACCAAGTATTTCAATGTTGCGATTCACAATTAGTGTAAAATTCAATTTTGGAATAAGTTGTTTGCCATCGGATTCCCATACAAACACTGTAATTTCTGACCGCTTTACCTGCCCATCAAGATGGCGTCGAAAACCGTGATTAGGCCTATTTTCTACAATCATCTCCTTGACAATCGCTTTCAGTGAAGCATGGAAACATTTTCAACCCTTGCGCTTCCAAAAGGCGCCAGATTTTTATGATAGAGTTAGTACGAAAGAGTGAAGTTTAGTGATTTAAAACGTTCTGTGTGACCTCAATGGTCCTTGCAAAATGCTAAACAGAGTTTTAGAATATTTGATATCACAAACATAACACGACAGTGTATTTGAAATCTGTCTACAGTCAACTCACTAGGAAAACGGCGGGACAAGCTTCAGGAGTTTCCCCGGAGCTTTCCACGAGTTGGCTGAAATTATTAGTCGCGTATTTCGTATAGTAAATTCTTTGCAATGAATCGTTACTTGATTAATTTATTTGGTCGAGGAATATCGACCACAGACTTACATATTTAAAATGTTCCTCTCTAAGCAGTACTGTTTGTATCTCAACCTGTCATGGCTGAGAGAGTAGCAGGGAGGAAAGCCTATTAATAAAACTGATTTTCTGGAAATGATTGGTCTGTTTTTGATGTTACGATATCTTGTTTGTTCTGTCATGATCGAAGCGCTCTCGCCGAGCGGTGTTGACGGGGGGCGGGGGGTGTAGATAGTGCACCGTACTCCATCCCCCTTAGGAAGCTTGCTCACAGTGGAAGCGTTCACAGACGGATTAGATTGCTATAAGAGCACTGCAAAACTTGGTTCCTCAACAAAGCTTTCTTCAAGCATTTTCGCGTAATCAGCTGCTGTGTGGAACTCTGGCCCCTTACAGGGAGGCCCTCATTATAGCAGGGTACTCTTGAGACCTAACATGCAGCCCTGATTATGGTGAAGTTACATAATACAAATACGAAGAACAAAAGTGTCACGGCGTTGTATTCCCAGCCTCAGTGCAATATTACCGTGCTTTTATCGAGTTATGGAAACACGAGTGGAATATTGGGAGAGCGAGAAATCCTGTCTCCAAACTTTCCCCCTGGATTGTTACGATCAAATACAGGGCTCCAAGGAAAATTGTTCCTGATGTAATTGTTTGCATTAATTTTGCCTAGGCATCATGCTTGATTGCAAAATTTCTGTTATCAGCTCATACGTTCTTTGTAACTTCTGAGCTTTCAACACACGTCTTACCAAAAGTATTTTACATCCGCGGACTGCTCTAGAAATGTCAAATTGTTTGCCTATCCGGGTGGCCATCAGTCGCAAGACTTCAAGGGTTGGGACGAGAGAAAGAGGGCAGGTTGGGGGTGGAGAGGGGGTGGGGTATTTCTCTTTAGTCCCCAAGCCTCCCTTGTTTTCCGAATTCAAGATTTCGCGTGCCCAGTCACAGCAAAACAAAATGTGCTCGCTCGCGCGCCAGAAAAAGGCTAAAATTTCTTGGCATAGTTGATCATACCATGCCCTTTCAATATCCAGAGTTGATTTTCGTAGCTCAGTCATGCAGAAACTGAAGTGGTTTATGCTAATGAGACAAATATTGACAACAAAGATACCCCTGTAAATTTTGAGGAGTGTTTACATTCCGTCAGTATCAATTAATCGATTGCGTTGCATGCCAAACGCCTCGCTGTACGTGATAAACTTAATGCGAACTGCACTTGAGAACTGGATTTAATAAGTGGATTCAATGCAATGTCCAAACTCACCCACAGTTCAAATTCCTGCCAAAACATGATCCGCACTGTCGGTAAACAATTTTTTCACAGCACCGCCTCTGTCAGATATATTATGGCACAACTTGCAAAACACCCGAGGGATACCCCTGGGAATTTTTGCTGGGCTTACTCGCCCGACCTTAAACCTACGTCTAAGCGTATAATTATGTGCAGGCGTTACCCACTATTTTTGATCGTTTAAACTCCACACTCGGATATCAAAACCTGAAACCCTGATGGCGTTTTATTGATGCTAATGACTTTCTTTGGCTTCTTACCCTTATCTCTTGCATTTTTTTTTTACCAATATTCCCCTAGTATAGCCCAATATTACCTAATCTCGTTACCAGGTCTTACTCTGCACGACACTGAAAAGTGACCTGGATTGGAACTTTTCTAGGCCTGAATTTTTGCCGCTCTCTCGAGTCTTGTCTCCGTTTTTTCGCGAATAGCTCCGTAGCTTGTGACATAGGGCGAAGCACATCTTTCACAATTTCAGGCAGGATTTCGAATAGTTGGTCTGTGATGATGTAACTCCTTTGCATGCCCTGTCCAGCTAAGTACCCCTGGGGGACTCCCATATAAAAATGACGGGGGTGCTCGTCCTACCTTTCAGGGGCCAAAAACGCGGTTTTAGTGCTTCTTAGGATGTTGAGCCTCAAGCGGTCCACAGCGGGAGCCAGGAGCGGGAGCTTTTGCGATACCCTCAGTAGGGTATTGAGCCGAAAAAATATGACGGGAGTTAATGTGTTATGTACCTCTAAGGGAGAAAAAAATTTCAAGCCACGCCCACACTTGGCTTGAGGGTTCTTTTCAAAATTTCCGACGAGCACCCTCGCCTTTTTTATATGGGAGTTCCCCCCACCCCCCCTCTACGTACCTCTTATTTAATCGCAATCAAAAACAGACAGTATGGTGATTGTTTTTAAAATAAACGAAACGTTGGATCGAAGTGCTCGTTGATTACAACGACATCGACTTTGAATTACTTAGCCCGCGGTGTCACAGCCGCCCTACCCGAAAGAAAAAAATCGGAGAACCGCAGCGCGTAAATCGATTGAACTTCTTTCTTCTCTGATTATTTCTGCGATTTGAAAGGCGATTAATAGACAAATCCGGTTTTACCATTTTTACGTTGGAGGTAATACTCAGGTTTACGAGCAGGGCTGTTTTGGTTGTTACAACTTTTCTTTGGTATTGCATTGACCGATGCCGTGGTCAGTGTCGATTTAATACCTTATTCGCGTTTTACTTTAGAATCTTGGGAATCTCTGGATTAAGACTCTGGCTGTTCAATTCCAAATGGAAATTTACAGCGTGTGATAAATTAAAGTTAATAAATGGCCTCTTTTTTACGTTCTTTAATCAAAGAATTTGGAGAATTCATGTTGTTTTCACAGAAGCGATGAAGAAATGTACAAAAAAAATTATCACCTCTATCGTGTGTTTCATCTACATTGTAGTTTCAGTTAAGTGTTGTCTTGAGCTATACTCGCGATCGTTCAGATCGAACACATTGAAAATGTAATCCGCACAGTACTACAAAGTGAAAACTGAATTGAACTTCCGTGTATTCATAATAACAATTCTCTTCAATCAAATCGTATTTTTTGTGAACTTCTTTTAAACCGTCTTCGGTTAGCGTGAGGAAACCTGGCCGACATGAGAAACCATCGATTAGTTCAATTAGTTAGAACTGAATCGCGTGACGGACCCATAACAGCTTGTGACCTCCGTACATAAATAATGGCTGGAAACACGCGAAAGCTGCCGATCTCGGGAATTATTTAGGCTATTTTCGGAGACGGATGAAAAATTGTTAACTCGATAGCACGCAACTTTGGTAGCATTTGAATTATCTTTTACGCCAGTTCCTTCATCATCAAATTTCAAAGCCGAACCCTGTTTATTTGGCAGTATGATCGCTTGGCCTGGGGCGCGCTTGAAAGTATATTTTGATTGTAGACTTGAGTATGTAGAAAACGTTTTACACAGGAACGTTGACTGTTTCGCTTCGAGATCAGTCCACCTGTTCAAACAGAAAGGGAGAAACAAGGTCGATCGCACTCGTCTTCGACTTCTGGTCTTTGTTTATATTTCAGGTCTGCTGTTTCTCTGCGCATTAATTTTTAGCATGTTTTAAAAAGTGTACCATTCTAATACCGATATTTTATCAGAACAGTAATACCGAGATAAACGTATTTGTCAGATTAGTTTCGTGTATGTACGTGTTGGCGGTATAATCGAGTGATTGTTTTCAATTTGCAAAACAATGGTTATGCATCATCCTCTTGCATAACTCACACATGATGTTTTCCAGCGGACCACAGTCGCCTCCTTGCACCTTCCCCCATAATACACGACATCCCTTGTTTCCCGGTTTCCCGCCTTCCCGCTCATTTACTCCACTGGATCTCATTAGGTTAGTCACGCTTAGCCAGCGCCCACTTACCGCCCCCACCCCGCCCCCTTCCCACCCACTCCCCGCCCGTAACATTCCCCCAGAGATTTATCCCTGTCCAAAGCAAAACCCCTAAACCTTCCCCGGTAAACCGAATTGAAAATAACTGATTAATCACGAGAAATCGGCGTCAGCTAAAATAAGACTATTCAACTGTTGTTTCCGTACAATTTCTAAATCAGGATAAGTTATCAAAAACAAAGATTTTGCGAATCTAGTATTTGTACGTGACGCGGTGTTCGGCGCCGTTATTAATAAATGTGCAGTACTTAACTCGATAATAGTGCAATACCATGGGGTTTTTTTTACCATGTAATGGCAGAACGCTGCTCTTTATAATGGGGCATTTCGTATAGTTTTCGTTTTGAAGGCAACATATTTGTTTCTTCTGCCCCTGTGAAATAGAATTTTCTGGATGCTTTCGTTGGCAAAAGATATTTCGTGTTTTCCCAGCCGTGACCGTTCAGATGCTGGTCGAGCAATGTTGGATGTAGGCCAGAGTTTACAGATCAACTTGTACAAACACATCGAATTCAAAATCGTCGTTAATTTTCTTAATCCTTTTTATTCTGGTTTTGATCCTGGTCTATATTGTGATCGGGCCTATACCAGCATAAATACTCTACTTTGACACGCTTTGCATTTCTTTCTTTTAAACAGTTACCCGAGCGTTCGCGTGACAAACGCCACAATGAAATTGACAGGCGAAAATTAAAATAGTTTTAGCTGATCCCATCTCGTCAAGAGCGTCAATATCATTTGAAATAAATGGATGCATCTTTTTTTTTCCAAAATAATAATAATAATTTGTTCCAGCCCTTACTTCAACTGTGCTATTAACATTGCAAGATCGATAATATTATTTTCTGTAGCTTTTGTTTTAAGAGTCGTTCGTGCGGTTGGCCTGAATTAAACGTTTCCAAGACCTGGTAAACAACATAATTTCAGAGTAAAAAAGCTTCTTGTTACGGCACTACGATCGCTACGTGACTTTGTTATACGATCTACTTCAAATCTCTAGGACTGATCATTTCAGAATGACAGATGGGAGATAAGCTTCTTCAGCAACTGTCCGTTAAAAAAATCTTATATATATTAGCCTCCGTAATGGGTCATGCTGGCTCGCACCCTATTGTTTTGGTCTAATTTTGGCAGTTCAGCATTGACTATCACGAGACTAGACTTCAGTATATTCTTTCGTTTACCGCTCTTCAAAAATTCTTTCCTACGTAGCGTTTAACCTTCACGACCAAGCTTCTGACTGTTATTATTTTACGTTTAGAATTACTTCCCCTTAGGGGAAAAATTCGTTCTCGTGCCGGCCGGCTTAGCGAAGCAAGAGACAAATGAAATGTGATCAATTAATTTCCACACAAGCAAGCTTGCTTATCGTCGCAATTTCACAACAAGTCTAGCATATCATATGTTTTGGGGCAGAGGTTACCAAATTTCAAAAATGCGTAACATTTAATTCTGTTAATACAGATCGTTTCAAGGCAATGGAAGCGTTGTAAAATGTCCCCGAAGGCACCAGTATTCGCAACAATTATTCCACTATGGATTAGAAATTGTTTTGGAGTTTTGGTTATTTTAAGCATTTTAGTAAAGGTAATATTGATTGTCCTGACTATCCAATATTTTGAAATACGTGAATATTTGAAATTAAATCAACTTGTTCATAATGTGAAACGAAACTTGCTTTAAAAAACAAATAACAAGTGCTTCTTGTGTCTTCGGCCAAAAGAAAAGCCGGAAAAAGCATGATGTAACCAGAAAAAAATAGACTGTTGTCATTATGTAAAAACAACTGCAAAATTTGATTTCAAACGACAATCGCATTTAAAAACCTTGCCTTGTCTAGGAGCTAAGATGACATTATCTGCATGGCTATTATAAATTGCCCTGGCGTCGACCTGGCGGCCAAATGTGCCAAAGATTTGTTCTGTCAACCAATCGTAATGTTTGTCCTTAGTGACTTTTGACACCTCCCTGCTGTTCCTAACCAATCAGACAGCATGGTTTATTTTTGCATACATCGCAAACAGCCGTAACTTCTGTCACATGGCTCGGATTGCATTTCAACGTGGTACTTCCGTGCAAGAAAACAACCGCATTTGCAGCAGGTTTTCAAGATCTGGTCGGATAGGAGACACCATGCTGATACGGTGAATCGATTTTCAAGCCAAAATAAAAAGAATACAATCGATCTTTCGAAAGAAAGATGCGTACGTGAGGTCGACACGTTTCAAAATCGTAGTGTAAACAAAGCTGCTGAATGGGTTTAAAAATAGCGACTGGCATTAGCCAATCACACGTAATCTCATAATAGCTTTGAACGAATAGGAAATGTCGTAGTATATTCTAGGCAGTTTTGACCAATCAAATAGAGTAATAGATTGTAAATCCCTCTAGGGATGGTATACACCCCCAAGAACTCCCGTAAAAACAACAACACTAGTTTCGTTCGGCGAATTTTGCACGACAAGCGTTTTACCGGTTACGACGTAACGGGAGAAATATTTAATTTCGGACCAAAAATAGACGAATTGTGCGGCAGCCGTCAAGGCAAAAAGTATGCTTTCCTCCAGAAGACGACCGAAAAATTCGCTTCTTGGCGTACGTGTCTGTGCTCCTTGGAAAGATGGATTCTTTTATTCCGGCGTGATTGAGGCAGTGAAAAGCAAGCCTACCGGCGAAAATACTTACACCATTCTCTTCGACGATGATTATATAGCTGAGGTGGACGAAGGAGATATCGTTGGACCTGGATTCAGTACAGTTAGTGCTTCGTCCCTGAAAACTGGACAACATGTTTACATCACGTACAAGAATCGAGAACTGAGCGCTCGGGTGCTCAAAACCCGGTCAGAGTTCAACGAAGTTTTGGTGCAAATTTTGGATTCTCAAGACACGATTGTCGCTGTAAGACCAAATGAGATCTACCTTACGAAGGGAGAGAAGTTCTCTTCAGCAACGGTGGATCCTGAGTGTGTTAACGGTTCCAAATCGACCGTGTCATGTCCAGTCCCGTGCAAAATAAAAGCACATGGAATAAAATCGTGCGAGTAAGTAAGCCTGAGGTCGACGGTCACACAAAAAAGTTTATACCTTGATTTTCGATTTTTTTCTTTTATAGTATTTATCATGTTTCTTAGTAGGAATTCTGTGGCTAGTAGAAAAGAAATTTATTTCTGCTTTAAGGTTCTATGGAGCGAAATCTTTTTATATTCTTTTGTTATGATGTTGTAAGGCTATCTCTGTTCTTTACCTCATTGAAAACCTCTACTTTTACACAGAGGCTGCATGAAACGACAAGAAAACGTTACAAGGAGTGAAGAAATGGCTGCTCTTGTTCTGACCGCCCTGTCTATCTCACCAGTTTTCAAAGACATGGACCAAAGTAAGTTTAAGTAAAGAAACCGTGTTACCAAGATTATTTGATTCGTTATGTGTCCTCCAGACAGAATCCCGCGCACAAGTTGGTTATTTACCTTTTAACTCTCAGAGGTGTTCTCACAACGTGAATATCCCTTATTAGCGATCTGATAGCACTAAATTCTACAATGATTTTTCTTAACAATTTGTTTTTACTTTATCATTTTCAGTGGAAGAGACGTGCTTCGGTTATCCTCCAACGCCAGACTCTGGTTCCGAAATGGCACCGTTTCCAAGCCCGCGTAATTCGCCGGTCCATTCCACTTTTCCCGTTCACCCAAATGATTCAAACTTTTTCATCAACGGTCCCCCTTCACCCGTTGATGAGGGAATTGGAGTGGATTTCCAAAGGCAGGACAACTCTCGCAAGAGAAAGGTAAGAAATACAGCGCCGGGCTAGAATAATTTGAAGCGAAACTCGCAGAATTAGTTGTTTACATCGTTCCGATATAAGTTACATTCCTTCCTGGTTTGGCGGTTTTAAGCGGGTTTCGTAACAGTTGCATCAGAAAAGCAGCATCACGGCTTATTTCCCAGATCTTCAAAGCAAATCGTCTTAAACTGTTACGGTTTTTAACTTGGGCCAGAAATGTTCCTAGCAAGAGTTAATCCTATCGAGGTCTTGTTGTCTACGAGCAATTTCACACCTTCAAATTGCATGTGCTGCATGTGCACGCCATGTCCGTCTCGTGTTGCTGTTTGTTTTGTATTTGTTCCGGCGATTCCAACTTCTCTCGTATTCCGACGTTTTCCAGATCCCATAGAATTGTACACGTTACGGAGAAGCCGGCAACAAAAAAACTGATCATTTGCATTGTCTTTACAGGCGTCAACCTCGTCGAATTCAAGTCTGAAGACTTTGTACAAATGTACATGGCCTGGATGCGGGAAAACCCTTTCAACCGCCCCCGGAATCATTCGTCATGTTCGAACGATCCATCTTGGGTAAGCTCAGTTTAACTTTGTCACGCTTTCGTGTTGGAATTATTCATTTAAGCTGACTGTAATGAAAAGATTTAGACAATAATTCCTTCGGTTTGACGTCGATACAGTTTATTAGGAGCATTCGCCAGCGTTGTACCGGTCTACAAGTTTCTTCGGAAATTCATACACTTAATCCTGCTAAACAAATCATAAAAATTATTCCTAATACCGATCGGATAGAGTTATAAATTAGTCTTGCAAACGTTCGAGAATCTTTTCGATAAATAGCTGTATTCACTCGGAATTGTTTTATTTTATTTATGGATGTTATTAAAGAATGTCTCGCCAAGTGAACCCCGAAACAGAGATGTATTTCAAACGAAGATTTTCGCATTGTCTTTCAGGCCTAAACGAGCTACAGAGGAAGGATATAGTGATGGAGAAGAGGATTTTTACTTTAACGAAATAGACTTAGACGAGGATGAATGTAACGACAGTGTGTTCCCGTCGCCTCTGGCGCTGTCTCCAACACCAACTCAATCGCACTTTGACATGGTAAAGAGTCCTTGGACTGAACCGGGCGTTGAAACTTGTCCAAGCGGTTACGACTCACTTCAACATCCTCGCTTCAATTGGGATGTTCAGACACTCGCTCATCTATCGTATGCACCGGCTACAAAGGCATCAAGCGGCAAGACCAGTCCTCCTGCGAGAGTTCAGCACCACTCCAACCACCATACTCCCTTACGAAAAGTCCGAGGCGAAAGTAAGAAATGCAGAAAGGTTTATGGAATGGAAAACAGACATCTGTGGTGCACCCAGTGCCGGTGGAAAAAAGCTTGCGTACGATTCGCAGACTAAACGGACAGAACTTATCCATTTTACAGCACCATGCAGATATTATATTTATAGCACGTTCGTAGCGCACGGAGTAGCGTGCCTTGAGACAAATGAAGAACATGTATATAGATTAAATATTTTATAAAATCATTATATTTTTTATAATCGCAGTCAGTCGATGTAAGACATCTTCTGCGAGCGGAAAGAAGAGATTCAGTCGTTTTACATTGATTAGAGAAAAGCCGGACGTATACAAGAAGAATCGAAGATTCGTGTTTTAACACATGCATGGTGCAAAAATATTTTGCGACTTGTTCATGGTTGAACATATATATACTATAAAGAAAACACTTATAACCTGTCTCAAGAATGGTAACTTATCGTCAGATGGAAATTCCATCGAGTTAAAGTTATATAGATATCTGGAAGTTTACAGAAAAAAAATATTTCCAATAAATTTGCTATGGGGGTTTTTACAGTCAATGTGGTGATTGTCATGTGCCTTTCGATATTTAAAGAATTGTATCAAGCGTGTTTGGATCTACAAGGATTGGTAGTTTTGTTTCAGTTTCGATTGTAAATTATACGATCGGTAAAGCCCTGCAAGCGGAAATGCAGACAGCCCGTTCCGCTGTTATTCGCGTGATCAGAGAAGTCTGGCTATAGGCCAATAAGTTCGCACGTGCCGAAAAAACCGGTAAGCGAAGGTTTGCAATGTCGAGAAACAGAGCCAAGAAATCTAGATTTACGAAACCACAAGACTCAACTAGGGGATATTTTGAAACAGGCTGCTTCTGCCCCGTTTATTTTCAACAATGAAAACAAATTTGCGCCGCTCATGTTGTTTATCTCGATTCCGTAACTTTGTCCTCGGAGCCTTTGCCCTTTGACATGCAGTGTGATTGGTTCCATTTCAAAATGACAATATTGCTCGTCTTTGTCTTCAATCAATCACTTTATTTTTGCCTGACATTCAATGAATTTTAATGACCTGTGCATACTAATAATGTATTCTGGTCATGTCCCACAATTTTGCGGTAGTATTATTGCATGAAAATTTCTCAGAAAACACATAGTGCTTGGTTTTAGTAAATGGTTGGGAAAACGCGTGAATTTCACGCCAAATTTTGTGTTTTCGCGAATTTTTCGATACGGTGAATGAAGTAAACAACTTTAAGTAGATTTCATGTGATTGGCTACAAGACGGGGGTGTGTCGTTTCCGGTGAAAGCTTAACAATACACAAGCTAGCTTTGTGTAAAGCCGGCGTTTTGAATAGATCCTCGGCGCTTGTATACGTTTTTTATCGCGCCGGCTGGAAAAACAAGCATTATCAACACTGGTAAAACTCCCGTAAATTGCTTTCTCACTTTCGGTTTCACTTCATGGTTGAAATTGTGATATTCCTTAGAACACGGACGACTATTGAACAATTTTACGTAAACAGGTTTCAAAATGTAAATTATAAGATGTCAGTTGATAATGGTGGTCTTAATATAATAACTGCTCTGAACAAAAAATTCTATCCCATCTGAGTGGCAGCCTAGCAACTTTAATATTTTTAGTTTTCGAGTAAACGAAAATATCACACCAAAAGTTGGTTTGAACCTCATTGTTTATGCCGGTTTTTTCTTTTGTTATAAAAGATTCTTATATACTGGCAAATTATTATGTCAATCGTATACAAAAGTGATTGAAAAGTCTGTTCTTTGGCGTTGTTTTGACTCGTCTATCAGGTCTTATCTAGAAATGCACGACTCCCACATGCCGATCGCGTTTGCATCAGTTTCAGTTTTTCACATCACATGACTTCTGATTGACATGTTAGCTTTTTCTCGTAACGCGAAACTTTCATAAATACCGTGCATGTTTCACGTGGTTTGACCAAAAAAAGTGTTAACACAAGTAGCAGGGGAAAAGATTAAAACTGGTAAGACCGATTATCGAGTGTTTGTTGTGTCTTCGCCTCTCAGGGAACAATGTGTGAAAACAGACACATCCAACTTCCGGTTGGAAATAGATTTGACCCAGATGTATCGAATGCACGCTCATCAAAAACTTCGCTTTATAGACTTTAATGTTCGAATAAAATGCGCAAATGAAGTATATTCTTCAAGGTGGTGAGAGGCCCGTGGAACTTGCAAACTGGATGAATACTCTTTGTATCTGTTCTTGACTGATATTTATTCCTGTTTTGTACAGGCACTTCTTCACGTACCTGGACACTCGCACTCTATTTTAAACTCTTTGCGGTTTACCAGGGCTTCCACGTCTTCGTGGGTTCGCAGAGTTTTTCTCTGTCTTGTACAGAACAATTTCAAGTACACAAGCTAAACAGGGCGCGATTTCTTGAAGGAGTTTGTTTTTCTGTACCAGTATTTACCCATTGTCTTATTCAAATCGCTTAATCTCAAAAAACAATTACAGTCACAGACAAAAAGTGAACTGGCGAGTGACCGGTCACGTCCTCTGAAAACATAGTTGATGAAAACATAATCGATGTTGCTCGAGAGAAAGCGCTAGGACAACTTCAGATCGTTCAAACCCGGTAAGATGGACGCAAATACAGTATATTCTTCGGGTAATACAATCCTTTCAAGAATTTAGAAACACAATTGTTTTCCAATCGTTCGTGACATGACCCGCCGGCCGGCATTTTTCGTTGTAAACAACTACCACGTGACTACAAGTTTATTCAAACCGATTACTATCTTCCTAGACATGGAAATTGAACAGATCTCCGCGCATTGCAGGGAATTTTTTAGAAGTAAAACCCTAAAGCATAAAGGAACTTTTTACTTGATCAAAATGGTATTTTTTTTCGAGTTTGCTTAGTCAGTCCTTTGAATTCCCTGAGTGAGTGTTCTTAGTATTGTTTTGAAAGAAAATATCTTTGTTCTTGAGGTAGCCTAATTACACATAAACACACAACTTATTTAATGGGTTCCTTTCACTGGATCATACGCTTTCAATTGCTATCAATTCCAACTTGCACGTAAAACAAGTTTAAAAATGTCAACGTGATGGCTTTGGCGCCATAAGTCTCGCATGATATCTGCGAATAACGACTTTCATAATACAACCAGGCCAGGAGCCACGAAAGGTTGATCACCTGTTACTCTATCGATATAAAAAAGAACAAATGTATTTTAGCCGTTTCTCCAGCAAACCGTGACATTCCCGTCTCTATAAACCACAGAGATCTTTGCGGTACACCTTGAAGTCACACACGAGACGAGAAGAACCTTAGAAATTATTTTTAAAGTGTTCTAACGAAGTACACTTGTAAACCACATCATTATCATTGTCCGTTCTTGTAGCGCCATGCAGCGTGGACATGTAAGGCCTTCTTACAACCAATGAAGGCAAGAGAGGGCATTAAATATTTGCGTGTAGGTTTCTAATAAATCATGAGTGTCTTCAGGGCCTGTGATCAATATCATCACGGGAGGTATGACATGTTCTGTTGTTGACTGGCAAAACGTGCTTCACTTCTTTTACTCGGTAACACCAACGTCATAATAACATGAACCAAATGAAATGAGCAAGTGATTTTAATAACGTGTCAATACACGTCAGTACACTTTATATTCATTGTCATTTTTCACCCTAGGGCCTTCATAATGCAAGGGTGTGGCCGAAACTTTGGATCAGGTGATATAAGGAAACAGATTTCGCATGAGACCAGTGGCGTAGAACGAGATAAAAGACAGCTTGTACAACTGCTATCCACTCACTGAGGTAAAACGTGTTGTCCAGCAAAGTCCTTTTTCATTCAACATGCTCGGGATCAAAATTAATTGGATACATTACCCACGCGCGGTCAGAAACAAAAATAGATCGCTCTTTGATACTTTGAACTTCATCCATGACGTGGGGTATAACTTTTCTTTTTTGAAAGACAAGAATGAAAATATATAAGTCTGCGGGATATTAACCAACAAGGCTTCTTTTCTTGTCTAGCTTACTTTGTTTTCATTTCTCTTCCTTAACCCCTTATCGCTAGTTTCGTCTCACCTTCATAGTTTAAGCCAATTTAAGGGACATTTTTTAAACAATTTGAAAACCTGGTATGTTTTATACAAACAACCGGCTAAAATTTTCATCTGTTTTTTTTTTCTAGTGGTCCTTGTATTGGAATTAGTATTTCTTTCTCTAAGCGCGATCTAACATAACATAACAAGGTTTGAAATGTACATGTGAAGTATGGACCGGTCTACCGGCCAGCGGCACATGTCAGACATGAAAGGCTATGAAACCAGCTGAAATCACGTACATTGCATCCTTGCGAGGCCACTGGTGATCAGGCGTTCTATTATT